GGGTTTCCTGCGTCTGCGCTTGCAAGCGGACGCTCTGGCTGCGATAAACAGACTGCAGTCCGCTTGGACATGGCCAGAGACGTCACAAAACTCGCAGGGAAGTTGTGAGGATGATGGAGAGGGAATAGAGCAGTGTGGCATCGCTGTGACGTGGCAGGGAGCGGAAAACGATGCTGTGACGTGGCAAACGAGCAGGAAACGATTTGGGAAGACACAGGACAACCAGAGCGCAATAGAGCGAGCTGAGCTGGTTCCTAGTCAAAGAGAAGGTGCTGAAAGCGACTGTGATGACGTGGCAGCGATAGCAGGCGAAGCAAAGCGTCTAGAGCGCGGGGCTCATAACCTATTGCAGTGTGAACTGCACCAGAACGGACTACCACTCGCCTCTCCTGCTCGACGCTCACGCTGATTGGAATGCAGACACGGGCGCCACGTCTCATATGACCCCGCATCGTCACTGGCTTCGCAATTACAAGCCCCTGCGTGTTCCTATCAAGCTGGCAGACAACACCATCGTCTATTCAGCAGGAGTTGGTTCAGTGGTGTTTAAACCGGTCGTGCGAGGGAAAGCGGTCGATGCTGTCGAGTTTACACGCGTTCTCCATGTCCCTGATCTGCGCAACAATCTACTCTCTGTTCTTTTCCTAACTCGTCGCCGGAACTTCACTGTCCGCATCAGTGCACAGTTCATGGAGTTCATGCTCGACTCTAAGGTCTTATTCGTCGCCTCTATCGACGACGACCACGCCGCTTTCCTGGATGGCGAGACTGAGCCCATCACGGAGTTTGCAAAGCTGTCTGCAACTCTTCCCCTCGACCTGACGCTCTGGCATCGTCGTCTCGCGCACCACAACATCGCAGATGTCCAGAAACTCGTCCGAGAGAAGCTGGTTCAAGGTCTGACGCTTAAATCCTCGAAAGCGCCTGATCCTATCTGTGAACCGTGCTTAGCTGGTAAAATGCACGCCAATCCCTTTCCCTCCTCCGAATTCCGCGCCTCTGCCCCCCTCGAACTCGTACACTCCGACGTCCATGGCCCTCTTCCTGTCAAGTCCATGTCAGGCCATCAGTACTGGGTCACCTTCATCGACGATTACTCGCGCTATCGCTGCGTTTATCCCATGAAGCGCAAATCGGACGTCTTCGAGGCCTTCCAGTCTTACAAGGCATGGGCAGAGAACCAGCTCAATCGCAAAATCAAGGTTTTCCGCGATGACAAGGGAGGCGAATACATATCCAACGCTTTTAACAAGTTTATGGATAATGCAGGGATTGTGCGACAGCACACTGTGCGCAATCGACCGCAGCAGAACGGCGTCGCGGAGAATGCGAACCGCGTTCTATCGGACAGGCTCACTGCGATGCTTGCGGAGTCAAATCTGCCGCTCAGTTTCTGGGCTCAAGGCTTACTCGCTTTGACCCACGTCTGGAATCGCTGTCCCACTGCTGCTGTCGAGGGCGCTGTGCCCTACACGCGCTGGTGCGATCGCAAGCCCAGCGTTGACCATCTCCGCGTCTGGGGCTGCACTGCTTATGTGCATGTGCAGCGCGATAAGCGCAAGGGCCTTGGATCGCATATGGAAAAATGCGTGTTCATTGGCTATCCGGACGGCTACCCTTGAAGGGCTGGCGGTTTTATAACCCCACCACAAAGTGTTAGATGTGTATTCCGCTACCATCCAATCATAGGAGCTCTGATTGCATAAGCCGGCAACGTTCTAGTCCCAGTGCTCGGAACAGTCGCACAGTCACCTCTAGTGCCTTGACTCCTGTGTTGATTCTAGGGCCAGATAGCTCAGTGGTTAGAGCACCACTGCGATCCAAGCTGGAGGTCCCAGGTTCAATCCCTGGTCCGGCCGTTCTTTTCGTTTCGTGGGAAACTTCAATACAAAGCGCATAGTCATCTCAGAACGAGCTGATTTCGACGAGCGCTATTTCCTCACTTTGCAACGGTCCCTGCACCGTCTGCCCTCGTATCAGGTCGCCTGGCGAGTTTTTGTTGAGATCAGACACTGAGAGAGCAGCAGAGGGGCACAGACACGGACACAGAAAGAGCGATGATGATAGCAGATGGTAAGAGCGGAATACAGGAGATCGGACTTATGTATCTCCGATGTATGCTACTGTTTGGTCCAGCAGCTCAACCTCAGCCACCTGAGCACAACACACTCCAACATGATCCCCAGCAGCCGGTTTCCCTCTACATCCAGTCCCTCACCGCTGCTCGTGCTAAGCTGGACGCTCTGGGCGTCAAAATCGACGATCAGGAGTTCAAGGACGTCCTGCTGATGCACCTCGATGATTCCTTTGATTCCCTGCGCACCACCATCCTTGCACAGTCCCCAGAGCCCGATCTCGCGCGCATCTCGTCGCTTCTCACCTCGTCTGCGCTCTCAGGCTCGTTCGCATCCGCGGTGAAGGGGGAGGAGTCCGAGACTGCGCTCTACAGTCATTCCTCGCGTTCTCGAGCCAAGGGGGAGTCTGCGCGCTCGTCTACAGCTCCTGTCGATGCTAAGGGCTTCCGCTGGTGCGATCCCACTGCTGACGGAGCTTGTCATCGCTGCGGCCGCTCTGGCCATCGCGCTGCGCGCTGCATGTTCGATATGCCGTCCCACATCAAGGACTGGGTTATGTCCACTGCGTCGCCTCCGCATTCACACTCTCCCACTCGCTCTGGTCGTGCTCGCGTCGCTGCAGATCGTTCTCCCTCGCGGTCACCCTCTCCTCATCGCTCTCGTCGCGCCGCTCAGTCTGCCGGTCTCGCATCCTCGTCTCGTCGTCGTTCCCCTTCTTCCCCTGCATTCCCTGCATTCGACTTCGTGTTGGAGTGTGTTGTGCTCAGGTGGCTGAGGCTGAGTTGCTGGACCAAACAGTAGCATACATCGGAGATACATAAGTCTGATCTCCTGTATTTCGCTCTTACGACTTGCTATCATCATCACTCATTCTGTGTCTGTGTCTGTGCCAACAAATACATCTCCAATGCGTTCAACAAATTCATGGACCAGGCTGGCATCATTCGACAGCACACCATGCGCAATCGTCCGCAGCAGAACGGCGTCCCAGAGAATGCAAACCGCGTTCTATCCGACAGGCTCACTGCAATGCTTGCAGAGTCAAATCTGCCGCCTAGTTTCTGGGCTGAAGGCTTGCACGCTTTGACGCACGTCTGGAATCGCTGCCCCACTGCTGCTGCACCTGCAGCTGCGCATCTGCCCGTCGTTGAGCACGAAGCGTTCGTTCCAGGGGGGGATTCTGATGATGATGATGATCCTGCACCGTGATAGAAACAAAACCAAGTCAAGAGAGATTAGAAAGTGCCCATGAGCGAAATGTAAAGTGCAGAATAGAAAGCAGTATAGTAATAGAAAGTGCCCGTGGTGAAATGAAGGGAAATGCGCACAGGGAAAGTCCGAGACAGCCTACTCGACTCCGAGCTGTTTTCTGCACCACTGGAATTTCTGACGAGGCAGGGGCTTGGTGAAGATGTCAGCCACCTGCTCTTGCGTCGAAACGTACAGCGGCGCGATCGTGCCAGCCTCCACAGCGTCGCGCAGCCAGAAGAACTTCAGGTCGAGGTGTTTCATGCGACCGTGATGTTCTGGATTCTTGGCAACGGAAATGGCAGAGTTGTTGTCCATGCGCAGGACGGAGGGAGCTGAGAACGAGTAGCCAAGCTCGCCGAGGATATTGCGCATCCAGAAGATTTCCTTGCCGGCCTCTACAGCGGCGATGTATTCCGCTTCAGTGGTAGAAAGCGCAGCAATAGTCTGGCGCTTGCTAGACCAGCTCACAGCGCCAGAGCCAATGCGAACGCAGTAACCGCCGGTAGAGTGTCCAGAGTCCTTGCAGCCAGCATGATCCGAGTCAGAATAGGTGGTGAAGAACTCCTTGGACGGAGTAGGGCGATACACGAGCTGCAAGTCCATGGTACCCTTGATATAGCGCAGAATGTGCTTCACAGCAGCGATGTGCTTGGGACCAGGATTAGAAGAGAAACGCGCAACAAGTCCAGCAGAATGAACGAGATCAGGACGCGAGTTCTGAGCCAGATAGTTGATACCGCCCACAGCAGAGAGATATGGGAATCCTCGGACTTGGGCATACTCCTCCGACGTTGTAGGACAGTCCTCGACGCTCAGCTTGCAGCCAGGATCAAGGGGAGTCGAGACAGGATTGCAGTCCGTCATATTGAAGCGAGCAAGCAAGTCGACGATGTACTGCTTCTGGGAAATGCGCAGCTCGCGTTTGGAACGGTCTCGAGTGATTTCCATGCCGAGGAGCTGAGTGGTGGGGCCCAGATTGCGAAGTTTGAAATGCGTCTCGAGCTCAGCAATGGTAGAGTCAATAGAGGGCTGGGAGCGCGAGGCAAGCGTGATATCGTCGACAAAGACAGGCAGGATAATGCGGACTTCACCTCGTTGATAGACATAGAGGCTGTGATCCGATTCAAGCCGTTTAAAGCCCATGTTAGCCAGCGTCGCGTGTAGCTTCTTGTTCCACTCGCGCGGCGCCTGCTTCAACCCATAGATGGATTTGCGCAGGCGGCACACATCGTCAGGACCCCCTTGGTGGAAACCCTCGGGCTGGCGCATGTAGATCTCCTCCTGCAGCGTCGCGTTCAGAAACGCGGTGGAGATGTCCACGGAGTGCAGGTGCAGATCCTCGATTGCAGCAAGCGACAGAGCAAGCCTCAGGGACGCGTCGCGCAGGGTAGGAGCGTACAGCTCGATATAGTCAAGTCCAGGACGTTGACCATACCCCTTTGCGACGAGACGACCCTTGTAGCGCTCGATAGAGCCGTCCGCACGCTTCTTGATCAGGTAAACCCAACCAGAAGGAATCGCCTTTGCGCCAGCTGGCAGCTTGACGATCTCCCAGGTCCCGTTGGCCCAGTGCGCTTTTATCTCCTCCAGAGACGCGGCATGCCACTGTGCAGCATCCGAACGCTTCATAGCGTCTTTGTAGGAACGCGGATGGACATACAAGCCGGCTTTGAGCGCAGAAAACTCCGCAGAAGCGAAATCAACCTCGAACATGTTCAAGGAATCGTCACCGGTGAAGTCCGCAGGATGCTGAATCTGCGAGCCCGGATTTGGGTCAATGGTTTCAGCAGTAGTGTCCATAAGCTCGAGTTCGTCGTCAGAGGAGGGCACTTCAGGCTTTTCAGGCTCATCAGGCTCCTCCTCATCGAAATGCGGAGTGGGATCGCGATGCATAGTCCATTCCGGAGTGTTGGGAGGCGTAGAAATCGTTAATTTCGGAGCTGGGATGCGCCACCACTCACCAGGCGGCTTGAGCTTTGCCCGAGATGGACCAGCTTGTGCAGGACCCGGTCTAGGCGGCGCAGACGGCGCAGAACGCGTATTAGGACGGAATGGAGTGGAAGGCGGCGATTCGGATTTTGGAGGAGGACTGGGACGAGCAGGAGAGCGAGGAGGCAGTGGAGGACGAGGAGTGGGAGGCTGCGGAGTCTGCGGAGTCTGCGGAGTCGCAGGACGCGGAGGAGGCGCACCCACGGCCGAATTACGAGTCAAAGGCGCTGCCCAGGGTGCAGGATCGTCATCATCATCAGAATCCCCCCCTGGAACGAACGCTTCGTGCTCAACGACGGGCGGATGCGCAGCTGCAGGTGCAGGAGCAGCAGGAACAGCAGGAGGTGCCGGAGCGTTCGTTGCAGAACGCTTAAGGCCAGGGAAATAGCGCTCGTCGAAATCAGCTCGCTCTGATAAGACTATGCGCTTTGTGGTGGGGTTATAAAACCGCCAGCCCTTGTAGCCATCCGGATAGCCAATGAACACGCATTTCTCCATATGTGATCCAAGGCCCTTGCGCTTATCGCGCTGCACATGCACATAGGCAGTGCAGCCCCAAACGCGGAGATGGTCAACGCTGGGTTTGCGATTGCACCAGCGCGTGTAGGGCACAGCGCCCTCGACAGCAGCAGTGGGACAGCGATTCCAGACGTGCGTCAAAGCGTGCAAGCCTTCAGCCCAGAAACTAGGCGGCAGATTTGACTCCGCAAGCATTGCAGTGAGCCTGTCGGATAGAACGCGGTTTGCATTCTCCGCGACGCCGTTCTGCTGCGGACGATTGCGCATAGTGTGCTGTCGGACGATGCCAGCCTGGTCCATGAACTTGTTGAACGCGTTGGAGATATACTCTCCTCCCTTGTCGTCTCGGAAAACCTTGATTTTCCGATTGAGCTGGTTCTCTGCCCAGGCCTTGTAGGACTGGAAGGCCTCGAAGACGTCCGACTTGCGCTTCATGGGATAAACACAGCGATAGCGCGAGTAGTCGTCGATGAATGTGACCCAGTACTGATGGCCTGACATGGATTTCACGGGGAGAGGGCCATGGACGTCGGAATGCACGAGTTCAAGAGGGGCAGAGGCGCGGAAATCGGACGAGGGAAAGGGATTGGCATGCATCTTGCCAGCCAGGCATGGCTCGCAGATCGGATCCGGCTTCTGGGACGATTTGAGCGTTAAACCGTCGACTAGCTTGTCTCTGACGAGTTTCTGGACGTCAGCAATGTTGTGGTGCGCTAGACGACGATGCCAGAGCGCGAGATCGAGGGGAAGAGTGGATGCGAGCTTAGCAAACTCCGTGCAGGCCTGTGTCTCGCCGTCGAGGAATGCAGCATGGTCGTCGTTGATAGAGGCGACAAAAAGGACTTTGGAGTTGAGCAGGAACTCCATAGAGCGAGCAGTGATGCGCACAGTGAAATTGCGACGACGAGTGAGGAATAGGACGGATAGGAGGTTGCTGCGCAGGTCTGGGACGTGTAGAACGCGCGAGAACTCGACAGGATCGGCGGACTTGCCGGAAATCCGTGGATTGAACACCACAGAGCCAA